AGCAGCTTCTGCAGCATGAGTTCGATACTTGGACAGCCAGAGAGTGTCTGCAGACCTCTCCTGTCTCACCAGCTGTTCCTCTCAGCAGTGTATTTCACTAGATTCACCTGTTCTGCTTCCCATTCTGTCTCTGGTGAATCCTTTCACCCCTGCACTTTTGGCCTACTCCCCAGTTCTTCTATACAAAAATAAATAAAATTAAAAAATATAATTTTCTTAAATAAAAAGAATTTTTATTTATCATTTATTTACAAAACTATTCAGATCTTGGGAGTATGACTTCATACCCTGGTATGTATATATGTCTTACCATACTGACAAGGGCCAGGAAGGGGGCGCTTGGGTGAGGTACTATGCAAGGTATAGTAAAAAATCTGCACACACACATTGTCTATGGCCTGTCTGCAATGAGTTCATTTCTAGTCCAAGGACACACCTGGAGGAGTGCAGGGAACTAGTACCATCTGAAGACCAGATTCAGCACACCCGGATGTGCTAGAGGCCAGGCATCCAGGAGGGCGATTAGGAGCTCCTGGTGCTGGAGTCACCAGCTCCTGGCAGTGGTGAAGGCCTGCTATAGCTGAACTGTCGTTTTCAACTCACTATAACTCGCCAGCTGGAAATGAAATGTTAAGGTGGTTTCTTCAGGGTGTTAACCCCCCCACCCCCGGCTCTTCCCCACCCCATCTTCCAGATTGCTGGCTGTCTGATTAAATCACACTTAAGGATTCATTTCCTGTTTGTACTTTATTGGTGTTTGGTAGTGACAGGTGGCCTGAGCTCCACTTTTCTGGTTGCAATTCCTACCTCTAGAGTTCCCTTGCCATTCCCAGCACCCGACTGACCACCCACCCCCCTTTTCTCCCACTCCCTTTCCTTTGGTAACCACTATCTTTTTCAAGAGTCTAAGTTAATTTTTGTTGGGAACAGTTTATTCTTTTTTTTTAAGATTTATTTTATTTTATGTATACAAGAGCTGGGGTACAGGTGTGGGGGGTGAGAGGACTCACCAGAGACAGAGTGGGGAACAGAACAGGCAGACTGACCAAAGCACACTGTTGAGGGGAGTAGCAGGCGAGTCAGGAGAGGTCTGCTGCGCCATGTGGGTTGCTCCCTGGCTGGCCAGGAATCGAACTCGTGCTGCCGTGGCTGTGGATAGCTTCATAGGTTGCGACTTAACCCCTTGTACTACCAGGGAGGCCCGGGAACAGTTTATTCTTAAAGGAAGAAATATAAGAGAGGACGGAGGAGGAGAGAGTCTGACATATGACCACTCATAGGAAGGAGAAGACAGAATATTTCTTAGAGTTTTTTGGGGGGTGTGTGTAAGGAAATTACGTGTTGGGCATAGTATACTGTGTTCTCTGTGAATATTAAGCCAAATGTCATATTCTCTGCAATAAGAATAGTGCTCATTGTTGTACATACTCTTCAAATTTTTGTGAATAAATGAGTAGGAAATACATTACTGCTACAGAAAAAGATCATTTTTTCCCACTGAACAAATTTATTCAACAAAGAATTATTTGTGTCAAAAACCCCGAATAGCCAAAGCTCTCCTGAAAAAAAAAGAAGGGAATGGAGGCACCACACTCCCAGACTTCAAACTATTCTACAAAGCCATAATCATCAAAACTGCATGGTATTGGAACAAGAACAGACATACAGACCAATGGAATCGAATAGAAAATCCAGAAATACACCCACAGATTTATGGTCAACTAATCTTTGACAAAGGAGCAAAGACTATGCATTGGAGCAAAGAAAGTTTGTTCAATAAGTGGTGCTGGGAAAACTGGGTCACTATATGCAAAAGTATGAAGCTTGACCACTACCTCACACCATACACAAAAATCAACTCAAAATGGATTAAAGAACAAGACATAAGACCTGAAACCATAAAATACATAGAAGGAAATATAGGCGAAACACTACGTGATTTGCACATCAAAGACATCTTTACAGACACATCACCCAAAGCAGTGATAGTGAAGGCAAAGATAAACAGCTGGGACTACATCAAATTAAAGAGCTTCTGCACAGCAAAAGAGACAATAACAAAAACAAAGAGAAATCCCACCAACTGGGAGAACATTTTTGCACACAACACTGATGATAAAGGACTGATCACAAAAATCTGCAAAGAGCTGATGAGACTCAACAACAACAAAGAAAATAATCCAGTCAAAAAATGGGCAGAAGAGCTAAAAAGAAACTTCTCTGAAGAGGAAATGCAAATGGCCAACAGGCATATGAAAAAATGTTCAACATCACTTGTAATCAGGGAAATGCAAATCAAAACTACCATGAGATACCATCTTACACCAGTGAGAATGGCACATATTAAAAAAACTAGCAACAACAAATGTTGGCGAGGGTGTGGAGAAAAAGGAACTCTCCTGCACTGTTGGTGGGAGTGCAAACTGGTCCAACCACTGTGGAAAGCTGTGTGGAGATTTCTGGACCTACTAAACTTAGAGCTTCCATATGATCCAGCAATTCCACTCCTAGGTATTTACCCAAAGGACACAGAAACATCCATTCCAAAGAACACCTGCACCCCTATGTTTATAGCAGCACTATTTACAATAGCTAAGCTTTGGAAACAGCCCAAATGCCCAAAAATAGATGACTGGATCAGAAGATGTGGTACATATACACCATGGAATATTACTCAGCATTCAAAAAAGATAAACACATGCAATTTGCAGCAACATGGATGGCACTGGAAGGGATCATGCTCAGCGAAATAAGCCAGAAAGAAAAAGAAAAATACCGGATGGTCTCACTCATAGCAGGAATCTAGAAAACTTAAATAAGGGACCAGGAAAATGAATAACTATAAGAAAGTGAAAATCAAAATCAACAAAAAACTATGAAACAGAGACACTTTTGGGGGCATGGGGGGCGGGAGGGGAGGGATTGGGATCAGAATGGGGGGGTTGCAATTGTATGGGGAATATAAAAATAAAATTTATTATTAAAAAAAAGAATTATTTGTGTCAAGATCATAATCTTGTGTCACACAGTACAAAGATCAGATAGAATTTGCTGTTCTAAAAGAGCCTGTAGTCCAATAGAGGGTTTCATGTTACCATCACATACATCATAACATAAAATTCTCTCAAAATTTTTATATATTAATGCTCCCATTGTGTGTATAAGGAAGCCGAGGCACAAAGTATTTAGGTCACTTGCTCATGATCACCTACATTGTTAGCAGAGCCAAGGCTCAAGTACACATCCTCATGTCTTAAGTGTTAATCTAGGGTATGTATATGGATGTATATATACATTACATTGCTAGTAGTAAGGAGCAGACCAAACAGAAGTTAATCAGAAGTTTTGAACAATTGTAGATCTGACTCTAAGATGCTCTTGTTGGTTTTTCTCTTTGCATTCATAGCACAACTCTTTGAGTAAATATAAATGCATATGGTAGAGTCTGGTCTGGTCTCTGGTGAGCGGGGTAGAGAATGTCAGTTCCTTTCTTGTAGCAGAAAAAGATACAGGATAGAGAAGCTAGAAGCAGCACTTGGAGGTACACTTGGTAAAGGAAGTATGGAAAGGCATCTGAGAGTCTTCTAGGTGTTTTCTGGCATCATATTTGCTGTGAGAATCATATCTTTGAAAAAAAAAAAAAAGATAGTAGAGGGCCTCCCTGGTGGCACAGGGTTTAAGCGCGGCGCTGTGAAGCTGTCCACAGCCACTGCAGCACGAGTTCGATCCCGGCTAGTCAGGGAGCTACCCACATGGTGCATCAGACCTCTGCTGTCTCACTCTGCTGCTCCCCTCAGCAGTGTATTTCAGTCGATCTGCCTGTTCTGTTCAACGCTCTTTCTCTGGTGAATCCTCTTACCTTCCACACCTCTGACTTGTACCCCAGTTCTTGTATGCATAAATAAATAAATCTTAAAAAAAATAAAAAGATAGTAGAGGACAATGCATGAATGCCACATGAATGCATGCACCCCCCCTCACACCCCACATACAGCTTCCTTTCAGCCAAAGAGCTTCAAAATCCCTCCCTGGAAGGAGAACAACTGGCAACTCCAGTCAAAGTGTGGTGGTACAAGGTCATGATTGGGATCATGTGATACCAGTGAAAATCCAGTGAAAATACCAGTCTGGAAAAGGGGACGCCTGCCCTTGGCTATTGTACCCAAGTACACCTTGATAGGGTTGTGTGCAGTGGGCTCTCACTTCATCCTGTGCCATCGCATTTGTACTGTAGATTTGCCACATGACATTTCTAAAGCACTCTTGGATTAATAAGCCATCATAGAGTTGGGAAGAAACAAACATACTGTGTGGAAGTTATGATCTATCTCAGAAAATATCAGTGACATGGGTCTCCCCGGTGGCGCAGCGGTTGAGTGCTGGGTTGTGAAGCTGCCCGCAGCCTCTGCAGTGCCGGTTCGATCCCCGGCTGCTCCCCCGCCACTGGAGGAGGGTCCCGCATGGCGCGCAGACCTCTCCAGCCGCCTGCTGCTCCCCTCAGCCATGTACTTCGGTCCTTCTGCCTGCTCTGCTCCCCGCTCTGGCTCTGGTGAATTCCCTTACCCTCCCGCACTTCTGACTGTACCCACTGCTTGTATAAATAAATAAAAATAAATAAATAAATCTTAAAAATATATATAATTAAAAAAAAGAAAATATCAGTGACATGTTAATTAGGTCTTCATGGGCTCTGGGGATCTTGGGTCTGCAGCTGACCTCCAGAGGGCAATGCTGCACCAGCTAGAGATTCTGTGGATGGCCATCATCTGCTCAGCCCCTCCTCCTGCAGCTGGTGGAGTGCTTTGCAGGCGAGACAGGTGACAAGAATCAGACATCTGAAAGCTCCATGCTCATCTCAGTGGCCTTTGTATTATTATCCAAGCTAGGCTTGTGTTAAGGCTAACTTTCCCCCAGCCCTGGTTGCCAAGGGAGTACAGCCACTTTCCTGCTTGCTCAGGGAAAGATTTCCAGAAGAATCCATAGCTTTTCACTGCTCAGCCATGTTCCTGTTTGTCATCTCAGTACTGGAGATAATTTCCCTGAGTGAGTAAAATTTCATAATGGTCTACAGTTCTACAGGCTCTGACTGGAAATATTTCTTATAGCAAAATATATGTTGCTTTCACTGATGAAATGTTGATTTTGTAGGAGATGCCAAGGCCCAGTCAGTGACCCAGCTGAATGCTCATCTCTCGGTCTCTGAAGGAAACTCAGTGGAGCTGAAGTGCAACTATTCATATGGTGCAACTCCTAATCGCTACTGGTTCGTCCAATACCCCAACCAAGGCCTCCAGCTTCTCGTGAAGTCCTTATCACTGGAGCCCCTGGTAAAAGGCATTAAAGATTTTGAAGCTGAATTTAGGAAAAATGACTCTTCTTTTAACCTGAAAAAGTCCTCAGCCCACTGGAGCGACTCGGCCCGGTACTTCTGTGCTGTGAGTGACACAGTGACTGAGGCTGCAGGGGGAGCTGAGCACAAACCACCCATCGTGGAGTTTTTGACTCAAGATCTCCTCCTCTGGTACTTTAAAACATCTCTTGCTTTTTGACTGTGAAATGAAGCCAAGAACTGAGCAGATCCGTACAATTCCAGTACTGACAAAATTTACTTCAGAGCATTTTGCTCATTGCAGAAACTGTGTCATGATAAATAGTATTTTAGAATGCTGTAACAACGGCATTTCAAAAGAGACAGTGTTTTCCCTCCCCTCCCCTGCCCTGCCCTCCCCTCCCCTCCCCTGCCCTGCCCTCCCCTCCCCTCCCTTTCCCTCCCCTTCCCTCCCCTCCCCTGCCCTGCCCTCCCCTGCCCTCCCCTCCCCTCTTCCCTTCGGCAGACTCCAGGAGAATAAACCTTGCCTGGCAACCAGCAAAGCAATGGGTAGCCCAGTTCTACAACTGTAAGGAACTGAATTCTATCCACAGCAAGAATAAGTGGAAGCATATTCTCCCCCAGTGTCTGACCCAGTTTGATTTCAGTTTTGTAATTCTCTGAGCAGAGAATCCAGTCATAACATGCCTTGCTTTAGGTGTATGGAACTGTGAACTAATAAATGAGTGGGTTTTTTTTTTTTGAAATGTTATTTTATTCTGAGAAAATATGTCAATGAATCTTTTTTTTACCCCCTATTTTCTAATTGGACTGCTTGGGTTTTACCGTTCTCCCCTCTCTCATCCCTAAAATCCTTTGACCCTTTCTTCTGCCTTCTACCTTAATTTCAAAAACCTCACTTCATTTATTAGTAGAGTCTGTTAAGTTTTGCATTTTACTTTGTCCAGTCAACTGCATGTGAGTGTCTGATAATTGTCTTCGTTATTCTGACTTGCTTCCATTTTACTGCAAATGGCAGCACTTTCTCTTTTCTTACCCCTTACCGCTTATAGGTACTCTTCTTTCTCTCTGTGCTTTTGATATTCTCTCCTTGTCATTGGCTGTCAACTTTTTTCTTTTCTTTTCTTTTTTTATAGTAAATTTTATTTTTATATTCCCCATACAATTGCAACCCCCTTATTTTGACCCCAATCTCTCCCCTCCCTGCCCCCCACCCCCCATAGAGTGTCTCTGGTTCATAGTTGTTTGTTGATTTTGATTTTCACTTTCTTATAGTTATTCATTTTCCTGGTCCCTTATTTAAGTTTTCTAGATTCCTGCTATGAGTGAGACCATCCAGTATTTTTCTTTTTCTTTCTGGCTTATTTCGCTGAGCATGATCCCTTCCACCTCCATCCATGTTGCTGCAAATTGCATGTGTTTATCTTTTTTGAATGCTGAGTAGTATTCCATGGTGTATATGTACCACATCTTCTTGATCCAGTCATCTATTTTTGGGCATTTGGGTTGTTTCCAAAGCTTAGCTATTGTAAACAGTGCTGCTATAAACATAGGGGTGCAGGTGCCCTTTGGAATTGATGTTTCAGGGTCCTTTGGGTAAATACCTAGGAGTGGAGTTGCTGGATCATATGGAAGCTCTGTGTTTAGTAGGTCAAGAAATCTCCACACAGCTCTCCATAGTGGTTGGACCAGTTTGCACTCCCACCAACAGTGCAGGAGAGTTCCTTTTTCGCCACACCCTCACCAACATTTGTTGTTGCTAGTTTTTTTAATATGTGCCATTCTCACTGGTGTGAGATGGTATCTCATTGTAGTTTTGATTTGCATTTCCCTGATGACAAGTGATGTTGAACATTTTTTCATATGCCTGTTGGCCATTTGCATTTCCTCTTCAGAGAAGTTTCTTTTTAGCTCTTCTGCCCATTTTTTGACTGGATTATTTTCTTTGTTGTTATTGAGTCTCGTCAGCTCTTTGTAAATTTTCGTGATCAGTCCTTTATCATTAGTGTTGTGTGCAAAAATGTTCTCCCAGTCAGTGGGGTTTCGCTTTGTTTTTGTTATTGTTTCTTTTGCTGTGCAGAAGCTCTATAATTTGATGTAGTCCCAGCTGTTTATCTTTGCCTTCACTATCACTGCTTTGGGTGATGTGTCTGTAAAGATGTCTTTGATGTGCGTATCACGTAGTGTTTTGCCTATATTTTATGGTTTCAGGTCTTATGTCCAGTTTTTTAATCCATTTTGAGTTGGGTTTTTTTTTTTTTTGCTTTACTTTTGCTTCCTTTTATTTTATGTTGAACTTATTCCCTTGCCATAAGTTTTTGTTTCTTCAGTTTCTTCTATGATATCTTTTTCTTCTGTGCCACCTCCTCTTCTGGTTTAGGAACAATCTGCTCTTTTTCAGTAAGGATCATCTCAATGTGACAGGGGGAGCTCATGTATGGGTTAATCTGACCATGAGCTCTGTAAGTTCTGCTACACATCTTAGGGGCTTTGTTCACCTGGATGTGCTCAATGACAAGAGAATCTACATCTAAACCCTTAAGTTCGGCATTACTCTCTGCATTTTTAAGCATGTGCAGTAAAAATTCAGTACTCTTTTTGGGCCACTGACCTTGCGTCCAACCCCACTGTTTGGCCTGGGCACACCTGCCAATGCCACCGTTGTAATGACGGACTGGCACGCACTGCTTCTGTAGAGTGACATCCTTCAGATACTTGGTGGCTTTTTGGATATGCATACCCTTGATGGTCTGGTCAGTTTCATGAGTGATCTTAAAATGAACACGGAGATTTGAACCTCTTGATTTTGCATGACTTGTAGGGTTTTCTGGGTCAAGTGAGTAGTGAACCATTTTCAGAGATTACTAAGGCCGCATACGGGAAGAGCTTGAGTTAGTTTTTGTGCATGGTATTAGGTAGTAGCCAAGCTTCATTCTTTTGCATGTAGTGACTCAGTTTTCCCAGCACCATTTATTGAACAAACTTTCTTTGCTCCAATGCATATTCTTTGCTCCTTTGTCAAAGATTAGTTGACCATAAATCTGTGGGTTTATTTCTGGATTTTCTATTTGATTCCATTGGTCTGTGTGTCTGTTCTTGTTCCAATACCATGCAGTTTTGATGGTTATGGTTTTGTAGTATAGTTTGAAGACTGGGCGTGTGATGCCTCCATTCCCTTCTTTTTTTTTCAGGAAAGCTTTGGTTATTTGGGGTTTTTGGTGATTCTGTATGAATTTCATCAATAATTGTTCTGTTTCTCTGAAGAATGACATTGAAATTTTTATTGGAATAGTATTGAATCTATATATTGCTTTTGATAGGATGGCCTTTTTAATCATGTTTATTCTTCTAATCCATGAGCAGGGGATGTCTTTCCATTTCTTTGTGTCTTCTTCTATTTCTTTTAATAGTGTTTTATAGTTTTCTTTACATAGGTCCTTTACCTCTTTTGACTCACCCTTACACTTTTCTTACATAAAGTGTTTTAAGGAAAAAATCCCCTTATGGCATCATATATTGGATATAGTGCCCCTCACCCCCCCCCAATGTTTGCACCCACACTTTGGTGAGATTACCTTGCTGTCACACAGGACTCTGTGGGTGGGGTTTCCTGTTAAGGGGATATGAGAGCTCAGATGTGATTGGTGCTCAGTGATTCTATAGAACATGTTGACTGTAATTTGCCTGCACCGAAGTCTTGGCACTATCCAGAGCAGGGGTGAAGGCACCAAGAGCAGGGGAACTCCAGCTAGAAGACAGGGATCATGAGACACTGGGGTGCTCTGCTGGGGCTTCTGTGGGTCCAGATTGGCTGTGAGTTGGGGCCGACACAGATAGGGTATGGAGAGAGCTCCCCAGCTGATAGTGGTGGGGGGAAGGGTTGCTGATATGGATCCCCTAGGGGGTCCTCCATTCCCATGGGTGTTTCTTGGGATCTTTGACAAGCTTAGAATCTGCATCAGTGATTCCCCTTGAGATCATATGTGTCTGTTCTCTCTCCACGCAGGGGTGAGAGGGATGCAGGTGGAGCAAAGTCCTGGATCCCTGAGTCTCCTGGAGGGAAACAGCTCCACTATGAGATGCAACTTTTCTACCACCATGAACTATGCGCAGTGGTTCCGACAGAACCAGGGGGGCGGCCTGGTCACCCTGTTTTACATAGTTCCAGGGACTCCGAAGCAGGAGGGAAGGTTAACTGCCACACTGAACTTTAAGGAGCAGTACAGCACCCTGCACATCAAGGGCGCCCAGCTGGAGGACTCAGCCACCTACCTGTGTGCGGGGGAGGCACAGTGCTCTGGGGTGATGTGCAGCCTGTACCCAAACTGCAGCTGGGCCTCAGCCCCACCCCTTCCTGGGAGTGGGGGCATGTCTATGTTTCTGCAGGCTCCAAAAGAGAGGACAGTAAACTTTGTGGATAAATTATTACAAAATAAAGTTGTGTATTTGAACTTTGCAATAAGCTTTTCGGAGAGATTGCAATTCTCCAAAGTTTAGAAACTGTGGTTTTCGAAATAGCTGCAATAATTGGAAAGCAAATATCTATAGGTGTAGAAATAAAAACTAAAGATATTAGATTAAATGAAAACGACATGTCATGTGGTCTTGAACTAATTTAACAAACCAATCATTAACCTACCATGGCTTGGAATTTGAACAGTCAAGCTCATGTTGGAAGGAGAGAGATAAAAAGTAGAACACAATCAGATTGTTTGAGAAGGTGTTTTTTGCTTTGCATATGAGTAAGTTCATCTGCCTCCTTGAGGTTCTGCATGTTGCTGTATTTTTTTCTTATAAGAAATACATATGTTATATAAGAAATACATGTTATAGATATAAATATAAGAACTAATTCTCTAGAAAGGAACATGCTGCTTTCCCATAGGATAAAATTCTCAAATCTTTCATTAGGAAAATTTTTCTATTCTTATAGCAATGCTTTAGGTCAGCATTTACCCTTTCAAATTATTGTATCTGAGGTTAGGGGCAACCTCAGATCCAGTAGCTTGTATGTGGATGTGAATGCAAAAGGTCATGGGCTGAATGAATTTAAAGGAAGAGCCTAAGCTAGCAGGCATTTGGAATATTGAGTGTTCTTTTCCTACTCTGATCTTTGCTTACATGTATTTTTTGAAAGAATTTTTCTCCATAGCAGACAAATGAGGCTAGTTGATGAGACTGAATAGGAAGACATTATCTTTGTTAAAGAGTGAATCCTTTTATACAGGAACTGCTATGTTAAGTTCTCATGAATATGCACAAGGGTCCAATTTTTGCATATCTTTGTCATCACTTGCTTTTTTCATTTTTGGTGGGTTTTTCTTTTTCTTTTGGGTAATAGGCATCCCAAAGGGTTGGAGGTGATATCTCATTCAGTGTTTGGTTTGCATTTCCCTGATGATTAGTGATGTTTAGCTGTTATTCAGATTTCTTAACCCCACTCAAAGACTGACATGGGCCTGATCATAAAGTCAAGACTTAGATGTCCAGGAAACAAACATCCCATTAAGACTCTGTCCACCAGGGGGTGCAGTTTATCAACACACGCATTTCCTGCGTGAAGAACCTGGCTTGATCCTCTCACTGTGACTTCAACATTCCTTCTTGTTAAGAATCAAGAACCTTTAGGTGACACTCTAGAGATGAACTCTTCTCCAGGCTTAGTGACTGTGGTGCTCTTACTGCTTGGTAAGTAAAATGCCTGCTAATTTTTTTTTCTTCTGTCAACAAAATCTTGGATCATAATTTTATCCAAGAGCCTTATGTCCAAGATGACACAAGTCTCTTTTATTTTCCCAGGACAAACACATGGAGACTCTGTGACCCAGCAGGAAGGCCAAGTGACACTCTCAGCAGGGAACTCCCTGACTGTGAATTGCACTTACTCAACCATACTCAACCCCACTCTCTTCTGGTATGTCCAGTATCCTGGCGAAGGTCTGCAGCTCCTACTAAAAGCCAAGACAGCCAACAAGAAGGGAACAAACAAAGGTTTTGAAGCCACTTACCAGAAAGACCCCAATTCCTTCCACTTGGAGAAAGCCTCAGTGCAAGAGTCAGACTCGGCTGTGTACTACTGTGCCCTGGATGACACAGTGATGGAAACTGCAGGGGTAGCTGAGCACAAACTGAGCAGCAAAAGGGGCCTGACTGCTGAGTGTCTCTGATCCACTATGGTTCCAGCACAGTCTATGATCTTTTGTCTCCTAGTCTGTGGTTAATTCACAAATCATACAAAAGTCCAGAGCATAAGAACAAGAAGTAAGCATTCCCCCCATCCAACTCTTCATTAATGAAATTACCAACAGAACCAGACCAAACAGAGTTCCTCACACATGGTCAAGGTAATTTGAAGGGAAAACTGCACAGATAATGAGGTAGTCTCTTGCTCATTCTTGCAAAGTCCTGCCCCCACATCTTGCTTCATGGTACATATTGATATGTATTTACATACTTTTAGAGAGGTAAAGTGTAGCAGAGAAGGAGGGTTCTACCTAATGTCTTTCTGAAAGATTATGGCAGGAGTGTTGATAGGTGGGATGATTCCCTAAGGTTCTGGTTCTTAATTAAGAAAGAACAAAATCTTGTATGAACAATGAAAAAATGTCATTTTTCCTTGCTTCTTTCTTTGGTCAATCAGATGATAAACAAGGTGAAGGGGAGGAACAAAAAGCATAAGAGAGGAATGGATTCTTGTCTAAATCATGAACAGTGGTCTTTGCTTATTCCTCAACAGTTACATAGATCAGATGGCTTTCTAACAATAAGGACTCAAGTGAGAGAGTTTTCAGTGACCACGACAATATTTGTTAACTTTGTTTTTTGGGCAGTGGTCATCCTGACAGGTGTGACATTTCCCTGGTGGTTAATAATATTGAGCTTTATTCATATACTCATTTTTTTGGTATATCTTCTTTGGACAATTGTCTATTCTGGTTCCTCATCTTTTTTTTCAATTGATAAATTGTTTTTTTTGTTTTGTTTTGTTTTTGTATTGTAGTAATTCCTTACAAGTTTACTTTTATGTTAACCCCCTTCCTGTATGTTCTTTGCCATTTGTTCTTCTATAGGTTGACTTGTTGATTGCTTCCTTGGTTGTGCAGAGGTTTTGTAGATTGATGTAGTCCCAGCATGTTAATTTTGTTTGTTTCCTATGTGTATGGTGTTATATCCACAATCATTGCCAAATCAATGTCACAAAAGTTTTCTTTTCAAAAAACAACTCTTAGCTTATTGATTTTTTCATTGTTTTAATATTTCTGCTCTATTTTTTTCATCTTTCTAGGTTTTAGGCTTAATTTTTATGATGTGAGTTTCCTACCCTCTCTTACTGTGTTTTTACAATAATTAGAAAGGTACTTTTATAAACAGTTGATGAAAGAATCCAAATTGTAAAAGAATGGAGGTTGGGAGGGCCACTGTAAAATATGAAAGTTGCTATTAACATTCAGCTTTTTTTATTCAATGCCACATGAAGATATGGAATTTTATTAACTCTGGCTTCATTCTTTTCTGTAATTCTTAATTTGCTCTTGCTGTTTCATCATTTCTTTTCTATTCACTTTTTTGACTTGAATATTATTTTTTAACCTCTGTTTTTAAAATTTTTATCCTTGATGTCACTTTTATGGGAGTTAATTAGTTCACTAACTTGGTGTTCTCTTGGACTTCTCTTAGTGGTCATTTAGCAGAACTGGCATTTCTTTGGGACCTTTCCAGTGTGGGTGTGGTGGGTTTAGAGGGCAAATGAAGGGGCAATGGGCATTGCAGCAGGAAGATTACCCTCCTAGGTGCTTAGCTTCCTGGGTTGTTTCTTCCTGGGTTTGTTTCTTATGCAGTATATAACAAGACCTGTAATCGTACTTTAACCAATACATTTCTAGATGTTTTGATGATTAATATATTTGGACTCAAGTCTAATACTCTGTTGTTGCCCCATGTGCTCTTGTTGGGTTTTTCCCCCCTTTTGTGGTCTGTGTTCTGTTTCATTGATAAAATTTTCCTTTTTGTCTCTGCTGAAATAGAAAATGTAGTAAATTTCTGACCTAAAGACAACTATCTTTAAATTACATGTGGGTGTCTCCATATAGGTGTATATGTATATATGCATCTACATGTATGTATGCACACAGATGCATACACACATACAAGTATAAGTACTTATACCTAGACCTCCAACGTTCTATAACATTTTTTCCGCATGCATATACCATTACTTCTCCTTGGGTGTACTTTTCTCTCACTACTTTACTTTCTCTATAATTAAGTCAGAAGCTAGTTGAAGCAAACAATACATCAGTTAGGTATCAGGACAGCAATTTCACAGAGTTTATTAGATGAGCTGATGAACTACAGCTCTAATGAACTTTAATAAAATGATTAAATAAGTCCATCCAACACAATAAGCAGAACAGGAACTCACAACATTCTTCCTCAGGGTCTTTGTCCCTGACCTGCCCTCTGCCTGGAGTGTTTCTTACTTACCATCCGTATGGCTCATACATCCACTTCTTCCTACTCTCTGTTCCTAGAAACATGTGATCCTGCTCATAAAAAAGAATGCTTAAAAAGGTTTATAGCAGTGTTACTTTTCATAGATAAAAGAATAAACATCGTAAGTGTTCACTAAGAGAGGAAGGTATATTTTCCCTCAAATGACATTTTAAAAATAGAAATTGGTTCTTTTAAACTTCAAGTGAAGCGAATTAGGTAATTTCTTTTTCAATCATCTGCATATCCTTCATCAGGAAACATGGGCTTTTGAGGTTGAGGTTGCGTGGCTGCTGAGCTGGTGCATCTGAACTAGTGTTTGTTGGTAGTTTCGGGCCACCAGGGGGCACTCTAGACCTTATAAGACAGAAGCTTCCTGATGGTCCCAGATGTTGAACAGTTAAGAAACCAGAACTTGGAAATAATTTTAGTAGCACTAATATCCTACCTTTTCATCTCGCTCCTTGGGATAGGAAGGAATAAGAATAATGAGGACAGTAGAAGAAGGGATAAAAAAAAAGAAACACATATAGAAGGAGGAAAGGGAAAAGATTACAGTTTCATAGCAATGTGGGCCCTGAGCAGATCAGCTGGTCAGGACAGAGAAGAGAAGAGGTGGAAGTTAGAGTGGAAATATCTAATTTCACTAATACTTGTTGGAATCATTTTCTACGCAGAAGGTAACTACATGTCCTGGATTTCTAGAAATCTCTTCATTTTAAAATATATATTTTCTTCTTCAGTAACAATGCGATATATCAGGGAATCTCCCCATTAGAATTTTCATATAACTGAATCCTTAAATTCTTGGCCAAAATAGCTATTTGGGAAACAAGTTAACTCCTCCCACGCAATACTTCAAGGCTTCATTATTTTTCAGTGCAAAAGTTAACTGGGTTGAGACAATGATTTTTTTCAGGAAAAAATTATGACACTACTAACACCTAACTAACATGAAACCATACACTTTTCTTCCATAACGTGTTTTAAGAAAGAAAAAAAAAACCCTTATAGTAACATACATTGGGAACAGTGCCCCTCACCATCCTGCACTGTTTGCTCCCACAGTTGGGTGAGATTACCTTGCAATCTCATGGGGATGCTGTGGGTGGGGTTTCCTGTTAAGGGGATGACAGAGCTCAGATGTGATTGGTGCTCAGTGATTCTGGTGGAACATGTTGGCTGTAATTGCCAGAAACCAAGACTTGACAGCGTGGTACAGAGCAGGAGAGTGAGGGCACTAAGAGCAGGGGTGAAGGTACCCCAGAAACAAGATAAGGATCATGAGATACTGGGGTGCTCTGCTGGGACTTCTGTGGGCCTGGATTGGCTGTGAGTTGGGGCCTTCCCAGATGGGGTATGGGGAGACCTCCCCAGCTGACGGTGGGGGAGGAGAGGGATACTGACATGGAGCTCCTAGAGGGTCTTCCATATTCTTGGGTATTTCTTGGGATATTTTATAAGCTCAGAGCCTGCATCAGTGAATGCCTGTTGGGATCATATCTGTCTGTTTTCTCCACGCAGGGGTGAGAGGGATGCAGGTGGAGCAGAGTCCTCCATCCCTGAGTGTCCAGGAGGGAAACAGCTCCACTCTGAGCTGCAACTATTCTACCACCATGAGAAGTGTGCAGTGGTTCCGACAGATTCCTGGGGGCAGCCTGGTCACCCTGTTTTACATAGCTTCAGGGACTCGGAAGCAGGAGGGAAGGTTAAGCATGTCTTTGGACACTAAGGAACGGCACAGCACCCTGCACATCGAGGGCTCACAGCTGGAGGACTCAGCCACCTACTTGTGTGCGGTGGAGGCACATTGCTCCGGGGTGATCTGCAGCCTGTACCCAAACTGCAGCTGGGCCCCAGCCCCACCCTTTCCTGGGAGGGCATGTATGTTGCCTGACTGTAGCTTTTGCACAGCAAGTTTGGGGCAATGTGTGTTCTTCAGGGCTCCAAACATGAGGACATTAAACCTTGTGGATAAATTATTACAAAAAATTTGTATACATGAACTTTGCAATGAAAGTTTTCAGAATGATTACAGTTTTCTGAAGTTTAGAAACTCTGGTTTTAGGAATAGCTGAAAATTGGACAGCAAATATCTGTTTAGAAAAAGAAATGAAAGATAATTGCTTAAATAGAAAAAATTTCAGGTAAACTTTGAACTAATTTAAAACAAAGTAACACAGAGATAATTTAGGATTAATTTTCCTTATAACTAAAGACAGTGATGGAATTTATAAATAGGCAATCTGACTAATCTGTAGATCGTGAAGTCACATTTTATTCGACATGCATCCTACACAAGTTACAGAAAATGTAAGAAGCACTGAAATGTCAATGTACAAATTTACATTTAAAATGAAATTTATGACTTACATGAAACTGGTATGAAGAGTTAAATCATTTGTAGAAAAATTGTTCTACCATAGACAGCTCTAGCTAGATTTACTAATATTTTATCTCAAGTTAATTTAGTGGATAGTTATGCAATATTGCCTTAGCATATAAAATACCTTAAGAACTTTAGTGTTGAGGAATCAACCAAAATACCCTTCCTAAAATTAAAAGTTACCAAAAATTCTGTTTGCACACTTGCATTTACCAACAGTAACTAAGTTTCCTTTCAATTATATTTGTTGAAATAAAGTTACTTAAAGAATAGAATTTGATATTCTAATGAATTAATTTCCAGAAAAGCAATCCAGGGAAATCTTATTATTATCAAGATAGCCCACTAATAAGAATATCACCAGTTATATAAAATGATGATCCCCAAATACTTTTTTGCAATTTGTAAACTTACATCGTTATTTATGTTATCATTATATCTTTGTATAAGTAAGAAAATATTTTTTTAAGAGGCATGTATATTTATTTATTTATTTGTTTGTTTGTTTGTTTGTTTATTTATACACGCACTGGGTACAGTCCGAAGCGTGGGAGGGTGAGAGAATTCACCAGAGCCAGAGCGGGGAGCAGAGCAGGCAGAAGGACCGAAGTATACTGCTGAGAGGAGCAGCGGGCGGCAGGAGAGGTCTGCGCGCCATGTGGGACCCTCCTCCAGTGGCCAGGGAGCAGCTGGGGATCGAACCGGTGCCGCAGAGGCCGTGGGCAGCTTCGCAATCCAGCGCTCAACTGCTGCTCCACCGGGGATGTCCAGTAAGAAAATATTTTTAAAGAGCGATTTATATTTTATTGCCAGTTCATCATGCACTGGCTTCTGGAGGTGTGAGCCATGGTGGTGGTGCTGTCCCTAAGGCTCACATGTAGTTGTAGAACTTTCCTAGAAATAGTAAAAATATTCATTTATCTGGTACACATCTCTTGGGGCAAGATATAAATATAAATATTGAGCATCATACATTCATTGTTATAAAAATGATCCTGGAACCCAGAGGCTAAGGGGAGTATTGTCCTCATGCAGCTGGCAGTCCGGGAAGGTACTAGAAAAGGCTTTTCCAGCTCAAGACTTTTGGATGATGAGTCGCAGTATTCCATGACATAATCATGAGGCAGTGACTTTTGCTCAGGGCTGGCTCTCATAAACCTCTTTGCATTTGGTGCAAATATGAGGTGCACTGATTTACTGAGTTTGTGCTGCTGATGCCCCAGAGCAAAGTCCGGGCTTTCCTGGGGCAGCAGGTTAGCAAGGGTCATGTCAGTTTCTCTGTTTGTGGAGTCTCAACCTGCCTTTGGACAAACCAACCTCAGTTTGAAAACAGTGCAATTCACTATATGAGCTAGTGAATTGATTAAGTTCAGAAGCAAAACAAAAAAATTAACCAAAATATGTGTGAAATCTTGGGTTATCAGATCAATTTGTTCAATAATTATCTATGAGCATGTTTCATAGGAGAGGAAATACTTTGTATCTTCTTTGGTTTGTGGCTGGGTCTTGGAATTAAACTCTCATAAGAGATTAACTGGACAAAAACATAGACATTTTATTACATTTTTACATCAATGCTTGTATCGTATAATGATATGTTCTCAAGTTTCATCCATTTTATAGGAATTTCTTGCCTTTAAAAGTTTGGATAGTATTCAACTGTATGTAGTACCAGCCCTGTGAATTCATTTATTTGTTTATAGACATTTGAGTTGCTTCCATCTTTTTTTTTTTTTTTGCAATTTTGATTAGGAATGTTGTGAACATGGGAATACACATTTCTTGGTATTTGAGTGCATACCCACATTACTTTAATTTGGAGGGTTTATACCTACACTGGATCTGGTGGTTCATCTGGCAATTCTGTTTTTAATTTTGAAGAACGACGTTCTGTTTTATACTGTGGCTGCCATTTTAAATTCTCATGAACAGTGCAAAGGGTTCAATTTTGCATATCTTTGTCATCACTTGGTTTCTTTCATTTTTGGAGGGTTTCCCTTTCTTTCTTTTTTTGGACAGTATATACCCTATCCTAATGGGTGTGAGATGATCTCTCATTGAAGGTTTAATTTGCATTTCCTGAGAATTAGTGATGTTTAGCTGTTATTCAGATTCCTAAGCCCCACCCAAAGACTGGTATGTGCCTGATTAATAAAGTCAAGACCTGGGAGGGGTCCAGGAAGCACACAGACCTTTTCAGACTCTGTCCACCAGGGGGTGCAGCTTCTCAACACACGCACATACTTCCTGAGAGAAATGCAGGCTGGCTTGATCATTTCACTGTGACTTCAGCATTTCTTCTTGTTGAGAATCAAGAACCTTTAGGTGACTCTCTAGAGATGAACTCTTCTCCAGGCTTAGTGGCTGCGGTCCTCTTAGTGCTTGGTAAGTTAATGCCTGTTCAAATTTGGATTTTTTCCCCTGTGTTATGTCAGCAAAATCTTGAACTGTTATGTAAGCAAATTCTTGAACCATAATTTTATCCAAGAGCTTTATGTCCAAGATGACACAAGTCTCTTTTATTTTTCCAGGACAAACACATGGAGACTCTGTGACCCAGCAGGAAGGCCAAGTGACACTCTCAGCAGGGAACTCCCTGAATGTGAGCTGTACTTTTTCAGCCTCAGGATCTCTCACTCTTTTCTGGTATGTCCAGTATCCCGGAGAAGGTCTGCAGCTCCTGCTGAGAGCCCTGACAGTCAATAAGAAGGAGAAAAAAGAAGGTTTTGAAGCCACTTACCGGAAAGACCCCAAATCCTTCCACTTGGAGAAAACCTCAGTGCAAGAGTCAGACTCGGCTGTGTACTACTGTGCCCTGGGTGACACAGTGACAGAAACTGCAGGGGAAGCTGAGCGCAAACTGAGCAGCAGAAGGGGCCTGACTGCTGAGTGCCTCTGAGTATTTGATTCACTGTGGTTTTAGCACAGTCTGTGAGCATTTGTCCCCCAGTCTGGTTAATTCACAAATCATACAAAGTCCAGAGCATAAGGACAAGAAGTAAGCATTCCCATACCCCACTCTTCATTTCATAATAAAATTGCCACAGAACCAAACCAAACAGAATTCCTCACATATCATGAAGGTAATAAAAAAGAATGCCCCAAAAGGTTTATTGCAGTGTTATCTTTCATAGATAAAAGAAAAAACATCTTAAATGTTCACTAATAAAGGAAGATATGTTTTCCCTCATATGACATTTTAAAAATAGTAATTGGTTCTTTTAAACTTAGAGTTAAGCGAATTAGGTAATTTCTTTTTCAATTGTCTGCATATCCTTCTTCAGGAAACATGGAGTAAATGGGGCTGAGGTTGTGTGGCTGCTGGGCTGGTGCATCTGAACTAGTCTTTGTTGATGATTTCAGCACACCAGGGGGCACTGTAGACCTTATAAGACAAAGGCCTCCTGATGGTCCCAGATGTTGAACCCTTAAGACCCAGACAGCATTGAGTGCGTGTAGCTAAGGCTGAAGAGGGGGAAACAGTGGTGTCTGTGACGTTCACCTCAAGTTTTCAATTTCGCCACTCTGTATACATAACGCTTCAGCCCATGCTGGATAAATTTGTGATGACACTGATCCTCTGGGTGAGCTAGGGGAACAGGAACATCATAGGGCACGTGAGCCTGGAAGGTCATCAGAACACCGCTCCATTAGCTGTTTTCAATTTTAAAAAAAGTTATGACTAGAATACCCCAAATTCAAGAACTTGGAAATAATTCTAGTACAACTAATATCTACTATCCTACCTTTTTATCTATTTCCACTGGGACAGAAAGGAATAAGAATAACAATAGTAGACAAAGGGGTGAACAAAAAAGAAAAAAGGAAAGAAACACAAATAGAAGAAGGAAGGGAAAGGATTATAGCTTGACAGCAGTGAGTGCCCTGAGCAGAGTCAGCCTGAGGGTCAGGACTGTAGCGGAGGAGAGGAGAGGAGGAAATTAGTGTAGTTATAGCTTCATTTTCCCAATGTTTGTGGGAATCATTTTATATGCAGAGTGTAACTACATGTCCTGGATTTCTAGAACTCTCCTGATTTTAGAAAATTTATTTTCTTGTTTAATATGCAATGCAACATCTCAGAGAATCTCCCTCTGTCAGAATTATCTTATAACTGAAACCTAATATTCCAGACCAATGTAGCAATTCGGGAAGCGGGGTCACTCTGCCCAGGCTGTGTAGGGTAAGGTAAAATAGTGTCAGGCTTTTCTGCCCTCCTGCCATTAGTTTGAATGATGGATCCCTGGGATCCTGAATGCATGCCTGATGGTGGGCACCTGGTGTGGGGTGTGGGCGTATGTAAGTGGGTACACTTGGACTGAGACTGGGCTTTTAGGGGCAGCATCATGGGGATACCAGGATAGCAAAAGAAAGCACCAGCAGAGAAGCAGAGGCCACGAGAGAACGCCGGAGAGCCCAGAAAGAGTGAAGATTCGCTGGGGCAGGGAGGCCTGCCAGCCTCCCTGGGCCACCCCACCCACCCCCGCATCCCTGCCTGCCATGTACCTTGTAAATCCCAATAAAAGACTGTAAAAGCCACCGAGGGCTCCAGGACTCCTCTAACATCTGCATCGGGTCACAGAGATCCTGCTCTGAGCCTTCTTAGCACTACACTCTGATTCCAGGCTTCATTATTCTTCAACGTAAAAGTTACCCAGTTGAGACAGTGGCTGTTTTCAGAAGTATGATCCTAGGGGGGAGGGAAGGGGAGAGGCAGGACTAGGGTCAGAATAAGCGGGGGTGTAACTGTATGGGAAATATAACCAAAATGATAATGCATACATTGTGCAAAAATGAAAAATGATGTAAGAATTATATAATATAAAATAGTAATTAAAAAAGAAGCATGATCCTCTCTTCCTCACACACTAACCCATACACTTTTCTTACATAATGTGTTTTAAGAAAAAAAGTGCTTATAATCACATACATTGGGAATAATGCCCCACACCCCCCTGCACTGTTTGCTCCCACACCTTGGAGAGATTAACTTGCAGTCTCAAGAGACGCTGTGGGTGGGTTTCCTGTAAGGGGATGAAGGAGCTCAGATGCGATTGGTGCTCAGTGACGCTGGTGGAACGTGTTGACTGTAACTGCCAGAACCCAAGACTTGACAGCCTCCAGAGCAGGGGTGAAGGCACCCCAGCTACAAGAGAGGGATCATGAGACACTGGGATGCGCTCTTGGGGTTTCTGTGGGTCCAGGTTTGCTGTGAGTTGGGGCCTTCCCAGATGGGGTATGGGAGACCTCCCCAGCTGACAGTGGGGTGGGAAGGGGTTGCTGACTTGGAGCTCCTAGAGGGCCCTCCATGCTCTTGGGTGTTTCTTGGGAACTTTTACAAGTCTAAAATCTGCATTGTCACTGCCCATTGGGATCATAGTGTCTGTTCTCTCTCCACGCAGGGGTGAGAGGGATGCAGGTGGAGCAGAGTCCTGCATCCCTGAGTCTCCCGGAGGGAAATAGCTACACTCTGAGATGCAAGTTTACTGGTGCTGTGGAAAGAGCGCAGTGGTTCCAACAGAACCCCGGGGGCGTCCTGGTCACCCTGTTGTACATAGCTTCAGAGACTCCGAAGCAGGAGGGAAGGTTAACCACCACACTGAACTTTAAGGAGAAGAACAGCACCCTGCACATCGAGAGTGCCCAGCTGGAGGACTCAGCCACCTACCTGTGTGCGGGGGAGGCACAGTGCTCTGGGGTGATGTGCAGCCTGTACCCAAACTGCAGCTGGGCCCCAGCCCACCCCTTCCTGGGAGTGGGGGCCTGTCTGTGTCTCTTCAAGGCTCCAAAGAAACGGACAGTAAACCTTGTTGATAAATTATTATAAATAATGTACACATGAACTCTGAAATAAAACTTCAGATTTATAATTCTCCAAAGGTTATAAACTCTGCATTTAGAAATAGCTGCAAATTCGAATGCAAATATTTGTAGGTTTAGAAATAGAAATGAAAGATAATAACTTAAGTAGAAATCAACATTTCATGTGATCTTTGAACTAATTTAAAGCAAAATATTAATGCAGAGATAATTTAAAGTTAATTTTCTTTGGATGTAAAAACATTTATAAAATGTATAATAGGCAGTCTGACTAATATATAGATCATGAAACCATATTTTATTCGTTGTACACCATACACAAGTTAGATAAATGTCAGAAGAAGCACTGAAATGTCAATGTACAAATTTACATTTAAAAATATTTATGGGGCCAAATTTAAATTAAAATTAAATTATGGGGCCTGGTGACCCAGCAGTTGAACACTGGGCTGCGAAGCTGCCTGCAGCCTTTGCAATGCCGGTTCCATCCCCGGCAAGGCGAGGCTCCCAAATGGCGCGCAGACCTCTTCTGCCGCCCGCTGCTCCCCTCCGTTCGCCTGTTCTGCTCCTCACTCTGGCTCTGGTGAATTCTCTCACCCTCCTGCACTTCTGACTGTACCCAGTGCTTGTATAAAGAAATACATTTTTTAAAAAAATAAATAAATAAAATTAAATTATGACTTACATGAAACCGGTAGGAAGAATTAAATCATTTGTAGAAAAATTGTTCTAGCAGAGACAGCTCTAGCTAGATTACTAATACTTTTTTTTTTTTTCAATTTGTAACTTTTTATTTTAAGGATTTTTTTTAAAGGTATACATGGTTTATTCTTTTCATTTTTTTATAATAAATTTTATTTTTATATTCCCCATATAATTGCAACCCCCCCATTCTGACCCCAATCCCTCCCCTCACGCCCCCCACCCCCCAAAAAGTGTCTCTGGTTCATAGTTTTTTGTTGATTTTGATTTTCACTTTCTTATAGTTATTCATTTTCCTGGTCCCTTATTTAAGTTTTCTAGATTCCTGCTATGAGTGAGACCATCCGGTATTTTTATTTTTCTTTTTGGCTTATTTCACTGAGCATGATCCCTTCCAGTGCCATCCATGTTGCTGCAAATTGCATGTGTTTATATTTTTTGAATGCTGAGTAATATTCCATGGTGTATATGTACCACATCTTCTTGATCCAGTCATCTATTTTTGGGCATTTGGGTTGTTTCCAAAGCTTAGCTATTGTAAACAGTGCTGCTATAAACATAGGGGTGCAGGTGCTTTTTGGAATGGATGTTTCTGTGTCCTTTGGGTAAATACCTAGGAGTGGAATTGCTGGATCATATGGAAGCTCTATGTTTAGTAGGTCTAGAAATCTCCACACAGCTCTGCATAGTGGTTGGACAAGTTTGCACTCCCACCAACAGTGCAGGAGAGTTCCTTTTTCTCCACAACCTCGCCAACATTTGTTGTTGCTAGTTTTTTAAATATGTGCCATTCTCACTGGTGTAAGATGGTATCTCATGGTAGTTTTGATTTGCATTTCCCTGATTACAAGTGATGTTGAACATTTTTTCATATACCTGTTGGCCATTTGCATTTCCTCTTCAGAGAAGGTTCTTTTTAGCTCTTCTGCCCATTTTTTGACTGGGTAATTTTCTTTGTTGTTGTTGAGTCTCATCAGCTCTTTGCAGATTTTTGTGATCAGTCCTTTATCATTAGTGTTGGGTGCAAAAATGTTCTCCCAGTCAGTGGGGTTTCTCTTTGTTTTTGTTATTGTCTCTTTTGCTGTGCAGAAGCTCTTTAATTTGATGTAGTCCCAGCTGTTTATGTTTGCTTTCACTATCACTGCTTTGGGTGATGTATCTGTAAAGATGTCTTTGATGTGCAAATCACGCAGTGTTTTGCCTATATTTTCTTCTATATATTTTATGGTTTCAGGTCTTATGTCTAGTTCTCTAATCCATTTTGAGTTGTGTATGGTGTGAGGTAGTGGTCAAGCTTCATTCTTTTGCATGTAGCAACCCAGTTTTCCCAGCACCATTTATTGAACAAACTTTCTTTGCTCCAATGCATAGTCTTTG